TCAATCTCCTGACCTCGTGATCCACCCGCCTCGGCCTCCCAAAGTGCTGGGTTTACAGGCGTGAGCCGCGCCCGGCCGTGAGGGTACTTTTAAAGAAGATAACAGCTTCCATGGTGTATTCAATGAGGTCATGTCTGGAATTGTTCCCTTGAGGTGGAGGCTGCTCTGTGGCCACTGTGCCTGGCGGTTGTATGATCCTGGGTTCCTGGGCTGAGAAGCCTCAGCCTCAGAATGTTTGGGGCCTTTTCGTCCCGCTCCAAGACTGAAGGAGAGGAGCTTACCCCCAACTGCACAGCGCTGATCACCACTTCCTGCAGTCATTCTTCCTAAATCTCAAAAACTCTTCTTTTTTAAGAGTAGATTCTTGCAAGGTATTTTTCCCCTCCTGAGTTCTTACATTGCCAGAGTTCCATTTGTACAGTTTGAAATCTTGAGGCATGAATAACTGACTTCACAGATTCTCTTGGCCCCCCACTACCTCGGTGTCCACTGGTGGAATTCTGCAACTGGCAAAAGTCAAGAATGAAGGAAGCAAACTTCAGAACCACAATATTCATATTGAATCATTTTGTTGTTGCTCTATGAAGATAAGTAAGCTAATTTTCTTCCTGGGATCTCATAGGATTATTACTAAGGGCCAGGGAGATCCGCTTCGTTCATTTAGTCACTCAGGAAGCATTGCTAAGCATCCCCTCTACCGTCCCCTACAGCTCTCCTTCCAAAATGAAACATCCTTTGGAGTGTGTTGTCCTTCAGAATCGAATGGATTCTATATGCTGCATTCAGTAACAGGTTGTGGAGACAAGTGTCTCTTCCTGAAATTGCTAAGTGTATTTGGCAGTAGTACTTTACTACTTGTGGATAGAACTGAGAGTGAGGTCAGTATCACCAAGCCTCTTGGATTTCTTCAATAGTCTCATGGATGAGTGAATGTTTAGAGCAGTAACTGCTACTTTGTTGGCTCTTGGTTGGGTGGATGGATTCTCAGTCCTGGTGTTTTTAAAAATCTCATTCCGGCCGGGCACGGTGGCTCACACTTGTAATTCCAGCACTTTGGGAGGCTGAAGCGGGCGATCACCTGAGGTCAGGAGTTTGAAACCAGCCTGACCAACATGGCAAAACCCTTCTCTATTAAAAATACAAGAATTAGCCGGGTGTGGTGGCACGTGCCTGTAATCCCAGCTACTCGGGAGGCTGAGGCAGGAGAATCACTTGAACCCTGGAGGTGGAGCTTGCAATGAGCCGAGATTGCACCATTGCACTCCAGCCTGGGTGACAGAGTGAGACTCCGTCTCAAAAAAAAAAAAAATTTCATTCCGTCTAAAGCAAGCTACAAAATGTGATTATTTATTTCACAATATGACTCAGCCATAAATGTACTTCAGGTAAGAAGCACACTAACATGATATCTTACTGATCAAATGCAGTCAGTAGATATATATGAATTTTTTTCTCTGTGAAGAAAAGCTATTAATAAGTTTGACTTAATAGGCCTATAGTATGCACATACTGGCCAAGATTCTAAATGGATTGTTCAGCAGTTGTGTTTTTGTGGAGGTGCTTATTCTCATTTCTCCAAAGCCTTAAGATTCCTGGGAATAGAGGAAATGTTGGTGCCACCAACTTTGCTGGTGAATTTCAAAGAGAATAGGTGTTTGCTGTTTGATTTCCGGTGACCTTTTGGCGAGCTCTGATGTATATGTAGAACATTTGTGTTTCTTTCCATTTTGAGGCCAGGTGGTAGAGTGGAAAGACTGGGAGCTGTCAGGAAACCAGGGCTCGGATCTCCACTCTGTTATGTACCAGCTGGGGCAAATCAGGGTCCACTCCCAACTCCTTTAAAATGAAAAGACTAGACTTGGTCTTTAAGCTTCCTTCCGATTCTAACATTTTGTGGTAGCAGGATTGTGCACAAAGAATTAGAGAAATATCTGGTTTTAGTCTTTTTTCCTCTATCGCCGCCTTACTGGTTGTACAACATTGAGCCAGTCATTCTCCCCAAGGCCTCAGTATTTTCATTGTTAATTGGGAACACTCCTAATTCACATTGTTGCTGTGAGGATTACATTTGGTAATGAATGTTAGAACGCTTTGTACATGGAAAAGGACTATACCTTTCTTTTTTAACTACAAAGGCGAACATGTAACCCCGTACCTGTAGGCGCACATCTGCTGTGGTGTTACATTCCACTGTTAGTGCCCAACCTCCCTTCTGTCAACCACATTTTACAGGCCTGTAGGGAAGGTTTTCTTCCTGTCCTCTCCCAACACTTGTTTACGTTCATCATCTCTTCTGTACTAGAGCTGCAGTCTTACGTTTGCTTACTTCCTGACATCCACCTCCACCCCAGTGATTTCTCCCCATCTCCAGCTCTATATTATTTGAACTAAATGAATCCATGAATGAACCAATGAGTGGATGAATGAATGGTAATGGATAATGGTCTATGAAGTCATATTTAAAGGCACTGTCTCATTTGTAAACAATCTAAATAAATAACTACAATGATATTTGCAAGTGTGTATCTATATTGGATTTTGCATTATATAATTATTTTAATGGAAAGTCTTTTTAGTCATAGTATTCAAAGCAACTTCAAGGGCTGGGGAAGGGGATAACCTTTAAGCCCAGGTAAGCTCTGTTTATTAAACTATCAAATGTTCACTGGTACTTTCAGAAATAGCCAGAGTTCTACAAAATATGTGTTAAGTCTAAATAGATATAATTCTACTTAAAACTGTCCCTCATGTGGGTTTCTGTCACACCTGACTTACATTTATTACCTACCGAACTTAAGAACCAGAACTAAGCTATAGGCCTGGTTCGATGGAGTGTCACTTTTCTTGACTTAAAAGTTAGCTTAAAACAAGAAGGGCCGGGTGAGGTGGCTCACGCCTGTAATCTTAGCACTTTGGGAGGCTGAGGCAGGCAGATCATTTGAGGCCAGGAGCTCTAGACCAGCCTGGGCAACATGGCTCTATTAAAAGTACAAAAATTAGCCGGGCGTGGTGGCATACACCTGTGCTCCCATCTCAGTAGGCTGAGGTGGGAAGATTGCTTGAGCGCAGGAGGCAGAGGTTGCATTTAGCCAAGATCACACCACTGCATTCCAGCCTGGGTGACAAAGTGAGACCCTATCTCAAAAAAAGAAAAATGAAGAAGGGCTGCACATGGTGGCTAATCCCAGCCCTTTGGGAGGCTGACGTGGGAGGACTGCTTGAGCCCAGGAGTTCAAGACCAGCCTGGACAATACAGGGAGATCCTGTTTCTACATAAAATTTTAAAAATTAACTAGGCATGGTGGATGGTCGTTTATGCCTGTGATCCCAGCTACTTGGGAGGCTGAGGTGGGAGGATTATGCTGTGATCATGTCTCAAAACAAAAAGACTTCTGAAAATTTGTATTTTCTTTTGTTTTGATTGTTTTTGAGATGGAGTCTCATTCTGTTGTCCGGGCTGGAGTGCAGTGGCACAATCTTGGCTCCCAAGCTCAAGTAATTCTCATGCCTCAGCCTCCCCGAGTGGCTGGGATTGCAGGCGTGTGCCACCACGCCCGGCTAATTTTTGTATTTTTAGTAGAGAGAGGATTTCACCATGCTGCCCAGGCTGGTCTTGAACTCCTGACCTCAGGCGATCTGCTCGCCTTCCGTGCCTGGCTGAAATTTTTATTAAGTAAAACATAAGTTCTCTTGCTCATTGTCATAGTCAAAGAACTACCATGTTAAAAAAAAAAAAAAAAAAGCAGAATTTATGAACATGATGAGTATGGTTTAATAAAATTGAACTCAACATTTATTTATTAACTATAGGCCAATACTGGGTTATAATATCAAATAAATTCATAATTATTGACCAAGATCAATATACTAACAAAAATGGTGTTTTTTTCATTCTTTTTCATTGGTACAATTTGATTGTTCAGAAAGTTTACTAGTAGTTTCTATTAACCTTTTACTGTACTAAGTGTGGCCACATAGGTGCAACCTCTTGTTTGAAGTTTAGTGGTAAAGGCCAGAGTTTAACTAATTTTTGTTTAGGAAGGACATACATACAGTCCTTGAAACTTTTGTCTAGTTCTAGAATCTTGAGGAGATGCTGTCATTGCTTTTATAAACAGGAAAAAGATGGATATCTTTTGGCAAATTCTTTGGGTCCAGCAATACTGATATGAGTCCTTGGAACTGTAGGACTGACTATCCCATGAGTCTGCACATTAGATTTCCAAAGGTAAGTTCACATGTCTAACATGCTGCTTGTTGAACTGTTTAACAAAAGGAATGATCAAATATCAGGCAGAATCACCTTAAAAACTAAAAATTCATACATATCTGTAGCAGTTAGAGCATTCAAAAATGTTTTCTTCTAATGAGAATCCTTTTTATGCTCAAAGAGCTGATCATTTCTAGGGTAAAAAATCTTATAAATAAATGCAATAGGAACAGTTATAATATACATAGTAGCCTTAACAATAATTGGTACGGTTTGAATCTGTGTCCCCACCAAATCTCATGTCAGATTGTAATCCCCAGTGTTGGTGGTGGGGCTTGGTGGGAGGTGATTGGTCGGGGGAGGGGGACGAAGTTCCCATGAATGGGTTAGCACCATCCCCTCAGTGCTGTTCTTCTGATAGTGAGTTCTCGTGAAATCTGGTTGTTTAAAAGTGTGTGGCACCTCCCTCCCTCCTTTCTTCATCCTGCTCTGGCCATATAAAACGTCCCTCTTCTCCTTCATCTTCTGCCATGATTATACATTTTCTGAGGCTTCCCCAGAAGCAAATGCCACTATTCTATCTGTACAGCCTACAGAACCATGAGCCAGTTAAGCCTCTTTTCTTTAAAAATTACCCAGTCACAGGTATTTCTTTATAGCATTGTGGGAATGGACTGATAGGTGATTAAAGACACTTTTCACCAAGTGTGTGAGTGTGTGTGTGCGCACGCACCGGCTAAAAAACGTTTTTTCAAGCATGTTTGCGTGGCTTTGTTTTATTGTTTATGGGAACACTTTTGCAGATCACTTACTTACAAGTATTTGAAACTGTTTTGTCTTTTTTTTTGTTTTTGAGACGGAGTTTGAGTTCGCCTGATGCCCTGGCTATGAGTGCAATGGTGTGATCTTTGGCTCACTACAAACATCTGCTTCCTCAGGTCAAGCGCAATTCCCTGGCCTCAGCTCCCAAAGTAGCTGGGATTTAATAGGCATGGTGCCCACCATGCCCAGCCTAATTTTGTATTTTTAGGTAGAGACGGGGTTTCACCATTGTGGTCAGGCTGGTCTCCGAACCGCCTGACCTCAGGTGATCCGCATACCGCTCAGCCTCTCCAAAAGGCTGTGATATAGGCGTGAGCACCTCCGCCCTCAGTCCTGTTTGTCCTTCTTCAAACACTAACGTGGAGTCCCTAAAATGGGAAGGAGTCAGGCTGCTGAACAGGAGAAGCAGATAATTATGAGTCTGCCTTTCTTCATGGTCCAGGACATGTGCCGTAACTCCACCAGCTTATCACGGTCACACCAGACACTCCTTCAAGTTAGCTCACTGCAACCCTTCCGCGGGCTTCTCAGTAGTCACTACAACAACCCTCTGTCAGCACATAGCACCATTCTATACCAGAGCGCGGCCAGCAACCCTTGTCCTCTTTGCAGACAAGCACCATACACTCTGGCCTGTTCCAGCCTTGCAAATGCATCTTCATCACCTTCTCTAAAAAATCTACTTCTCTCGCGCGCTACAATCGCTCTTGGTAAATTCTCTTCTTCCCCACATCCCATACAGCCCAGGATAGTCTCTGCTCAACCCATGACACACCAAAAATGGCGCACCAGCGAGCGACCAGCTACACCACCTCTATATTCCTTATTTTCTGAAACAGGGTCTCCACTCTGTCCGCGCCCACCGCGGAGTACGTACGGGCGCAGCGCATCCGCCGTCTGCACGCGCCTTCTGGCCATCTGTTGTGCTCTCAGGTGACTGCCCACTCCCACCACGCCTCCCAGCAGTCAGCTGGCGCCATGAAACAGGCTTGTGGCTATCCGATGTCGCAGCATAACTTTTTTTTTTTTTTTTGCGTAATTTATTAGTAGGAACAGGTTCTCAACTATGTTCGGCCACGCCTGTGCCTCTGAACCTCCTGGCCTCAAGGTAATCTTCAGCCTCGCCCCCAAAATCCTGGGATTACAGGCACAACCACCCGTCCCAGCCTACGCCTACTCGTATTCCTTAAAGATCTTATTGCCAATATGGCTACTCTTGTGTCTTTTTTTTTTTTTTTTTTTTTCTTTGAGAGTCCCGCTCTGTCACCCAGGCTGGAGTGCAGTGGTGCTCTCTCGGCTCACTGCAACCTCTGCCTCACAGGTTCAAGCAATTCTTACGCCTTCGCCTCCCAAGTAGCTGGATTTACAGGCTTGTGCTACCATGCCCAGCTAATTTTTTTTGGTATTTTTAGTAGAGACAGGGTTTCACTATGTTGGCCAGGCTGATCTTGAACTCCTGGCCTCAAATAATCTGCCCGCCTCGGCCTTCCAAAGTGCTGGGATTTACAGGCGTGAGCCACCGCACCTGGCCTACTTGTGTCTTAAGTTTTGATGGTAACTGTGATATTTTTAAAAAACTCACAACTTGAAAGTGATACTTGAAAGGGTAAGAAAGTCTGAATTAGAGGCAGCTGACTTTGTTTTGAGAGGCGATTTTAGCTTTAATGGGAAAATACTGGAAACTAAACACACTTTTGACCGATTTATATAACCTTGCTACATATAAATTTATATGAGAAAATGATTCAGGATAACTTTTTTTTTTTACAAGTAAGGCTTTTTTGGGCCATTTGAAGCTGATTTTAAATGTCAGATTATTTAATCACATCTGAATTCAAATTCTAAACTGTCTAAATTGTTTCTAATATGTAAGATCATTTCTTTATAACCATAATACTTGTCCTCCCCTCCTTTTTGTTTCCTTCCTGCTTTTTAGTTTTTAACACGTAAAGAGAAGAGGAGGTAATGTTACCAAAGAGCACAGTCTATTTCTTTGGACTTAATTTGCATGACAAGTTTTTGCTCACTGTAATTAGAATTTAGTTAAATAGATGTCATTTTCCTTAATGTTATCTACGTTTAGCTCATGGGAAAAAAAAGGTTCTTGAGAACTGGCCACGTGTGAAAATATTCAAGTTCAGTATCCCTAATCTGAAATCCAAAGTGTTCCAAAATCCAAAACCTTTTGGGTGTCAACATGATGCACAAAGAAAATGCTTAGTGGAGTTTTTTGGAATTTGGACTTTTGGATTAGGGATGGTGAACTGGTAAGTATGATGCAAATATTCTGAAATCTAAACAAATCCAAAATCCTGAACACTTCTGGTCCCAAGTATATTCAGATAAGGGACACTCTGTGTGAGAACAAGACAGCAGGTGGTTAAAGGAATTTCCACACTTAGGTTGCTTTCAAGAGAGACAAAAGTATTAACAGGATCTTAATCTGCCTCAGATTTACTGGGGAGCAAATGCATTCATATTTGAGGATTTCTAAAATGGTAGAGGCTGAGGTGGATCACGAGGTCAGGAGATCAAGACCATCCTGGCTAACAAGGTGAAACCCCGTCTCTACTAAAAAAATACAAAAAAACTAGCCAGGCAAGGTGGCGGGCGCTGGTAGTCCCAGCTACTCCGGAGGCTGAGGCAGGAGAATGGCGTAAACCCGGGAGGCGGAGCTTGCAGTGAGCTGAGAACCGGCCACTGCGCTCCAGCCTGGGCAACAGAGCAAGACTCCGTCTCAAAAAAACAAAAAAAAAATGTTTTTAGTTAGCACCAAAAAAGACCAGGAAAGAGTATGTGATTAATACATTTAGTAAATACAAGATGACTTTTCCTTGTACTGACATTTATTTTTAAATGGTATTGGATAAATAACATAAAATAAGTAGTTATTGTAAATAAAATCTGAAAGGAGCAGAGGAAGCATGATGTTTCTGAATCCTTTTATTTTTCAAAGGACTTTAAAATTTCAAACTACAAAACGGATTTCATACATTCTGCCATAAATAAAAACAAACAATAAGGCAGGACTCTACATAAGCAAACCAAGAACAATTGTTTTCAGAAAATGTGATAAAATGCTTTACAATCATAAGCCATCCAGTTTTTAAAATAAAACTGTTGAAAAACTCACAAATCTTCAAGCGGCACATACAAGACACCCTTGAAGAGGGAACAAAATGTGGTTCTGCCATTTTGTATTGTTCTCACATTTTTGAAAACCTAATTTTGCTTAGAGCATAGGTCTGTTCCATATTCTAAAATTCACACAGGTTGGTTTGTTTTTTCTCAAGAACCATATGATAGAGGCACCAATGACAATACAACTTTGTTTCCAAGGACCTTGTAACAAAGCGTTGTCTCTTTTAAACATACGACTTGAGGCAAAAGGAATCCTGGACAGGAGTTTTCTGCAGAGGCGTTTAAGCCCTACCGAATCCGCTTCTGCTGCCGTGCTCTGTAAATGTCATGAACAGGGGGGACAACGGCTCCCTTTTCTTCATCTTCATCTGAATCCTCGTTGGGCCTTTTGACGGCCTTGGTGAGTACTGCATTACTTTCCACAGGGCCGTTGCCTTCTACAGCTAGCTCTGGGGCCCCACCAGTAATGATCCTCACAGCTTCCTCAACAGCTGTTAAAACAACAAAACGTAAAAACATATTCCACTATGAAAGGGTATGTATGTTCAACTGTGGACACTTTATAGTTCATTTCATAGCCTACTAATTTAGCAAAACATGGGATAGTACTACTGATACTAAATAATGAAAGAAAAAGACAAAAGCTGCTGTTAAAACTAATAATTTTAATAAGCCAAAGTACATGTTCACATGAATAGAAAAGATAAACTTTTATGACATTTTACTTAGTAGAATTCAGTATGAATAAGCCTCTCTCTGCCAAAGAGGGTTTGGGTAACTCCTGGGTTTCACTGTACTTCAAATTGGCTGGCTGGTTTCAAAAACTTCAGTGGCAGAGAATAATAATCTCTACGGCTTATGAGACAACAATGTGGAATGACACTCTGAAATGGATTTTCTGTTACTTACTATTTGGTATCTTGCATCTTCGGAAAATTTCCATCAGTTCATCCACTTGTACGAAAGGACCCTATTTTGACATGAATAAATTTTAATCCCAGTAATCTGACAAGTTAAAATAGCAGTAACTTTATACACAATTACTGTAACCCACAGAGCCAGTATCTACCGTGAAAATAAGTGAACAAACCTGGAAACAGATAGGAGGAGGGAGAAGTTTCATTAAAACAACAGCTGCAGGAGGGACTGGGAACACTCCACCAGGTACAGGGTGTAAGCCTGGAGCTGTGAGAAAAAGAAAAGTATGAATCAAGTGGGATGGAAGAATTTCTACACAGAGCTAAAATCAAGTGACTTGCACATAAAGATCTTCCATGTCTATGCTGCTTTGTTCTGGACACTGAAAATACTTTAGGGCTTTACCAAACCAAAGTGGGTGAGACAGAGCAGTCTCAATGCCATGGCCACTGCGAGGCAGAGAAGTAGACAAGTGACTTTGTATAAGACAATTGGGGACTGAACTAAAGTCAGTTTTTGTCAAAGACTGTTTCTGAGTTACACAAGTCATTTGTTTAGCAATCCTTTTTCAAGTCAATTATTCAACAGCATATTTAATCAGAAGGGCTTTGTTCAAAAAGAATCTAGAGAGGCTACTAACCATTAGTAAGTAAAGAAACCAAATTGTATCAGTGAAGAAAGTTTCCAGCTGTTCAGGTAAAAAGC